ACAGGGTGCACTAACGATTCCAAGCATTTTAAACAGTTTTTGAACATTTTGAGACACACTTAAAATAGCGAAAATGGACCTGTCAAAACCATTGAAATGCATTTAAACCTATTCAATGCATTCCAATGGGGGAACCGCGTTTCACTTAGCGATGTTTCCTATGGCAATTTTCATTTAAGGACGGTAATCCGTTCAATGCAGTCCTATGGGAAATGGTGTTTCGCTTAGCAATGTTTTCCCATAGCGATTTTTTTTTTTGGAACCAATTAACATCGCTAAGCAAGGCACCACTGTATGCACAAATCAGTATTAATTATCTATTCAGAATATATATGTACCTTTTTGCCCACAACAGTGAGCTGCAATGGAGTGCAAGCTTTGTAACATAAGGAACATTACTAAGAACTGATTCAAAACAAATGTGTCTACTTTGCTTCGTCCTCATCACTCCACTCTTGTTGGCAATGGGTCCAATCAGCTGTTGCAAGAAATGATTTCAAATGGAGTAAGCAGATGGTGAGTCAACTTCTCACAAGTTCTAGTAATTCAGATGGGTCTAATCCTGTTGTAATTTACTATGTAAAACAGATTAGGCTGTTTTGAATTAATGGAACTTATGGAGGAGTTTACTTACCAAATCCCCACTGATTCGATGGGCCTACTGCAGATCAACTGACTACTCTATGGAAAAGGATTTCAGGCACTGAGTGCCCAGTGTTTGTGCCTTTAATTGAAAAAAAATTACACAGGGCTCTTAGCAGTTGGACCTTTCTATGTTACTAGTAGGTAAAGCAAAAGAAGGTACAAGGCACTAATACACATTCTCCCTCCCCATATACTCACACCCCCAAGCTGAATTTAAGCATATGCTGTCTTACACGTTGGCAGTTTCACTGGCTTTTTCTTAGGAAGACTCTTTTTTAGCGTCAACATGGAACCTGTCCTTGTTTGCACAATTGTGATGATATCTGAAGCAGCATTCAACACTTCATACATAGAGAAGAACCCATAACGCATGAAGTCAAATGTCCGTCCAAAGCGCTGAACAAAGGCTTTATCAAAATCTGACAGCAGGATAGGGGAATGTCCCAGCAAGTCTTTCAGTTCACTTCTTACGGCTGCTGGCAAAGTAGGAGGAACTCGGCCCCGCCAAGGTAATCTTGGGGAAATTTGGGAGCGCCGAGACAATCCAGAGGGAGATGTGCAATGAAGAGAGAAATTCAGTTTATGTCTGGGAGGCTGCGGCTTAGGCCTACTTTTCTGTTTGGCAACCAAGCTTGCAATCTCCTTGGTGGATTCATCTGCAATAGCTAAAAGACAGAATTATGGTCAAAGTTGCATGTTGGCAATTGTTTCTTCCTCCAGCCACCCTTTTCTTTTTGCCCGCCTCCTATAGATGCTAGTGCTGGAGATGTAAAACTAGCTATTGTAATATTAGTACAAATAGCAGCCAGAGTCCTTTCATCCACTGTCTGGACCACAAACCCCTACTACCATATACCAGAACTATGAAAGCATGTGAAAAGGAACTCCACACCTCTACATTGTCTACATGCAGCATTCTCCACTGCTAACTGCATTTCATGACTACCACTGATGACCCATCAATCCCTAAATCTCTCCAATTCATTTTGATCTCCTTCCTCCCAAATGCTTCCAGTGCTGTCATTTATTTATTGATTGATTTTTACTTATTTATTTATATGCTGCCTTTCTCAGAATTGGTTCATGTCTTTTAGACTGTATGGCTGCGAGCAATACCACCTTAAAGCTGTTCTTTCTGATGCACTTTAGGGGTCTTTCTGGCCAAGAAGGAGAGTACAGATGTTTTAAAATACATCAACACAAGTGCAAAGGGAGCATCAATTTTGTTAGAAAAACTGTTTTGCTCCTTGCTGGGATGTTATTATTAGGCAGATATCATGCCCCTCTTTTTCATAAAAAGCATATAAGTGCAACATCTATCTTAAACTGTATCCAGAAATTTAACTTTCAATATATTTCCCCGCTTTTCACCAGACTAGCTTTGGCACTCACCTTTGAGAATAACAATGCCATTTCTCTGAGGGCATATATTAACAACATCAGGCATATCCTGCACCAGTTCCATGACAGAGCTGTAACCCAGAGCACGAAATGGAAGCTGTTCCCCTATCATAGACTTGAATTCTTGTTCTAAATTAGAAGGGGTGAGACCATCTTTTGTTGCTATCAGCAGTGACCTCAATTCCTTCTTCAAGGAGTTCATCAGACATTCTTGATCCGACATAGTTACTGAGAATGCACTGAAAACGCAGAAAAAGAAGCTGGTTACACTATGATCCACGTTAGTTGCAGGTAGTGTATTTTAGAATAAAATAATCTTAGAACTGCAGAGCTGGAAAGGACCTTACGGATCACTGAGCCTAGTCCTTGTCAAGGAGGCACAGTGGGGAACTGAACTCCCAACCCTGAGCCTCGCCACCAGATACCTACACTACTGAGCTATCCAGCAGTTCCTAGGGAGAAGACCGTCTGGGACTGGCAGCCACAACTGAGGAGGCAGAATATTTATTATTTCAACTATTTTTCTAGTGTGCACTTATCCTGAACTCTTTCCAGAAAGGAGGACCACCCGAAAACGATCCCCTCAGGCAAGCAAAGCTGCCGTCCCCCCCCCCCGCCGCTTCCTTCACCGGAAGCCCTGCTGACCTCGTGCCTGGCAGGACCAGGGAGGAGAAAGTGCGAGCCCGGCGGCGCCACGACTCGCGCCAGGGCGGAAAAAGAGCGCGAGCGCGCGCACTTACACACACGAGGCGGCAGAAGCATTCCATCCCGCGATCGTCCAGGTGCATGTCAGAAGGGGGACCGGCTCTCTAGACACGTGGTCTCTGTGAAAACTGCCCCACTTGTACCCACCCGCCTGGCGTCCCGCTCCATATATTTTAATTTTTTTTAAGCTCTCCCACCTGCCCAATAACTCCGCCTTCCTCCAACCTCAATTCGACCCCCTTTCGCGGCCTCACCTCCGACCGAGCCCCTCCGGCCTTTAAGCTTCGCGTTCTCGATCAATCAAACGACCCGTGCTGCCGCTGCTGCTGCGCACGCGCAGAACTTAAACGTGCGCGTTTGGCGCTCGCGTTCTTTCTTCTCCCGAGGATGGGCGGGGGGGGGAGAGAGATTTAGGCGCCGCGGACCTTCAGTTTCAAAAAGCATGGAGAAGGGAGAAGAAGGACTGTATTCCTCAGCTGCTCCACATTCATGCGTCCTCGCAGAAGTGAAAGAGAGGGAAGAGTGTCTCTGTGACTTGCAAAGGAAACAAAGCACTAGAGTACTTTAGTTTTTGCTCGTTTTGGTTAAAGGTGGTTAATCAGACTGACATGGCTGTGTCTTACCAGTGCAGTAGGTAGGGGGTGACTGAATATGCAGGTTTCAGAACCAGAGAGAAATAAACTCAGCCACTACAGGCATAAAGCATGATAGAACATGGAAACAACAGCAAAATAGCACGGATCTTTGACTAGAAATGTATAATGATATAGTACCGTCATACCATTGTAATCTGCATTAGGGTAGAATATCACAGCAAATATTGACATGGGAGGTTAGTGGAAAATAAGTCTTGTTATTTTTAAGATGCGCAAAAGCTTAATAGAACACTCCTTAAACTTGGAGGAGATTGCTCTGAGAGGAGACTTGTTCCATCGAGCCTGCCATTTTAAATCAGAAATGGTTCTCCCCAAATCGTTTTTTCAAACCATCTTGAGACCTAATTTATAGCCACAGCAGGCTTCTATTAGTATTTTATGTAATTCTGAAGCCAGCCCCTGCTGGATGTTTTCTGAAACTAATAGCAATGTTTCAAATGCAATTATCTTCTAATCTAGAGCATTTGTTTCCAGCCTTGGGTAACCCAGGTATTCCTGGACTGTAATTCCCATAAACTGTTCTGGCTGTTTCTGGGAGCTGCAGTCCAAGTGTATCTGGGTTACATAAGGTTCAGAAACAGTGATTTAGAGCACTGGTTCTTAACCTTGGGTTACTCAGGAGTTTTGGACTGCAACTCCCAGAAGCCTTCACCACCAGCTGTTCTGGCTGTTTCTGGGAGTTGCAGTCCAAAACTCCTGAGTAACCCAAGGTTAAGAACCAGTGATTTAGAGTAGTGGTTCTCAAACTTGGGTCCCCAGATGTTCTTGGACTTCAACTCCCAGAAATCTTGGTGTGCACAGCAAGTGGTGAAGGCTTCTGGGAATTGCAGTCCAGGAACATCTGTGGACCCAGTTTGAGAACCACTGCAGTCTAGAGGCCTCTGCTTTGACGATCTGTGGACCCCAGTTTGAGAACCACTGCAGTCTTCTAGAGGCCTCTGCTTTGACTACTTCAAGGGAAGAAAAATAAACAACCTGAAATACTTGAAACCAGGAGGGTTTGATTTAACAGTTGTTTCCCTCAATTTCTTAATTGATATAAATCACAGTCTTTCCACAATTTAAATTGAGTCCATTTGCCAACATAAAATAAAGGATAGTTAAGGAAAGTGGTCAATGGGGAAGGAGTAGAAAACAATTTATTTTGCCAGTCTTTCCCATTTTTTTCTGCATTCCAAAAGAATGGATCAGTGGTATGGAATTAAATTTTATAGGGAGAAATAAAAGCTATTTCAATTTTTCCAATTTGGAGATTTTATTTCCATTGTAGCCATATGGGAGGTTAGAAGCCAACAAGTATACAAAATATTTGTTTTGCCTGGATTGTTACATAATAGGAAAATATTTTTTAACTGAACAAATTGATTAGCACCTTGTCAAAGGCAGCTTCTGCTGTGCAGGCACAGCTCTCTGCCTCTGTCCCTACTTATTCCTGCAAATTGTTTGAAGTCTAAATGGCTACAGCAGTTTCACCTGGGGAAACTTGATCTGAAAAAATATGGATCACAGTGGGTCCAGGCAACCTCCATAGATACAAACTGGCACATGGCTGGTTTGACTAGGTGAGCACTTAGAATGATTTTCATGTGTTTATAGTAATAAAGGCTAAAGATTGCTCAAAGTTATAATGCTTCTTACTTTAAAATGATGTGTTTTAGAGTTGAATCCTATGCTTTTTAGTTGTCATTTTAGCCTATAACCTACTTTATTATTAATGAATGTAATGTAAGCATTTGTTTTTGTATTTTACTGTAACTTTTATGCTCCTGTATTTTGAATTCTGACTTAAGTATTTCCCTGGAACTTAAGTTTAGTTTATATTTTTAATTATTTGTGCCTACTGGCTTTCCACAGCTGTAAAACCTTTGGATGTTCTCAATGATTTTGAAGTACTTTTTGGGCATATGGAACATGGAAAAAATGTAGCTAAATAAAGCTTGTAGAATTAGACAAGCTGATGTTGCCTGAAATCATTGCAACACTGAAAAGATTTATACCTTGCTACCCAGATGAATTTCAATATGATTGGAAATGGTTGTCTACTTTCATTCTGGAACGAATCCCCTTTTTGGGAATAAATACTAGCTGTTACAAATGCAGGCTTATGATTTTTATCCTAGACATCTATAAAGTCCTGTAGGACTCTTGGAAAAATGTTCAGGTGTCAGACTTTCTGACTTGATGGATCTTATCTCGCAGGAAATGATTCAGAGTGGAAAGAGAGAGACTAAGAGACACACAAACATACACATTAAAGAATTAATGAGAATTGTATTTTGTTAAACACATTATTCTTAAGTCATCATAGTATGTCTACAAATATTTGGACATCAGAGGGACAGAGCCGCTCTCTACAGAACAGCATTTTAGCAGTAGGGAAAAGAAGCACAATATCCCGCATTTATAAACTGGAGTTTTTTGAAGGATTGAACTTCATGGTGTTTCAGAATGGTAGTTAAGATATATATATGCTACCCACAAAATAATCAGAAATTTCCCTCATATAGAATTAACCAGTGGTAGAGGATTCCACTCATTTCACACACTAGCAAGGTTATGCTCAAAATCCTACAAAGTAGGCTTCAGCAGTATGTGGACCGAGGACTCCCAGAAGTACAAGCTGGATTTCGAAGGGACAGAGGAACTAGAGACCAAATTGCTAACATGCGCTGGTTTATGGAGAAAGCCAGAGAGTTCCAGAAAAATTTTTACTTCTGCTTCATTGACTACGCAAAAGCCTACAACAAACTATGGCAAGTTCTTAAAGAAATGGGAGTGCCTGACCACCTTAT